CGGGAGAAGCCGTCAGAGCAGCGCGGAAAAGCCCGGAAAAGCCCCACAGCACTGCCAAATTCAGCTGTTGTTTATTCTTTGGATGTGCTTTCTCCCCATCTTAGGCCTAGTGCCCATTATCCCTTGGACTGAGGTGAGGGCCGAGCAGCTGTCTGCTCACAACAGAGCAAGAGCTGCCACCGCTTTCTTTTACAAGCGCAGGCAGTGGGTCTGCATTATCCTGCACTCAGAGCTGCCTGTGCTCAGCTGAAGCACGACTTGCTTGAAATACTCATAGAAAGTTAAATAGCAGCGTAATGAGGCTGCTGGTGAGGCGTGAGAGCAACACTGCAGGCTGGCAGAATAGGAGGGATTCTTCAATAAGGACTGCTATCAATATTAAAGTGTTACATTTTCTGTATACTTATGTTATACACAGGTGTTTTCTATCGATAGAGACATAAATATGTGACAAGCAGCATGCAGTTGTATTATATAAATAGAAAAATAGTGAGTATATGTTCATATCAGGTTTCTTTTCTGTATATCATATGACAACTGTATCTACAATAGTATTAGTAGTTTGTGTTAATACAGGCATGGTTATGAGTAAAGGGAAGATGCCAGCAGTAAAAGAAAAGGCATATATTAGTCATTCTCAGAATCATCATGAAAAAACTGTTAGTAAGGTGCTAAATTTTGCCTTTTTACAGCTGCAAGTCAAGCCCTCTGGTTGAGAGCCTTTGAAGAGCAGGGGCACCACCAGACCAGTTCCCTGCTGTGCTCACAAACTGCTGTTAGTAAATATTCTCAGAGAGAGCAGACATATCACAGGCACAGTACTTGTTCTGAAGTTCATTTATGTCATCAAGATTAAATCTACTTGAACATTAATTGCCCTTTCCTACAAAATGACTAATACCTCTGCTTTTGGTTTTGTTTTTTTTTTTCCATGTGGACTGTTGTGTGCTTGAAAGCCTAAAACACGATTGCTGATGCAATCTGGGCTTCTCCACAGAAAGAATTCTACAAGCAGATGTGCACAAGCAGTAATTATGTGTACTGGGAAAAATTACAGAATGAAATAGTAGATTTTTCCTAGAGAATGCCATCATGCTGGAATGCCAGAGTTGATTTCCAAGTGGGGGATATGAACACAGAAAAGCAGGAGTGCCACCTACATTTTTTTTTGAGTAAACTCTCATTCCCCTTTTAGACAGGAACATCTGACACTCGGGTCTGATGCTCCCAGGCTGCTCAGCAGACCTCACTGCTCACTGCCACAGGGCCTCATTATCATCTTCTAGAGGCTGGAATTAACAGGAATTATCTGACTGTTAACCTCTGCCAGCTGCTGGGCAGGTAGGATTGGTTTCCACCTCTGTTTTCTGGGGCAGAGAGTCAGGTCCCACAGGCTGACTGCTCTCTGTCCAGCATTCACTCCTCCTGATACATCACATAGAAAAACTATAAATTCTTATTCTCTTTTTCATCCAAAGCATAATAGGAATATGAGCATCCTTCTGCAATCCCGCAATTATTTCTTCTAGGAGCACAAAATAAAGTAAACCCATCACACTTCATTTTGGTCTGGGTGTGTTTTCTAGTGAGAGTCAAATGCAGCATTCGTGTTTTCATTGCTGAAATCAAGAAAAGTATGTCTGAACAGACTACAGCAGATTATTAATGTGGTGTCATTTTACACAGGATAGGTTTGTGGGAGAATTTTATGAACTAATTTGTATTGTAAAATACTTTCAGAATACTTCTTATCAACGATATTGTGAATGAAGAAGCTAGTTCAAAGGAAAAAACATTCCCCCTGCACGAGCCAAGACATTTCTCCCATTTTTTCTCCCATTAATGCAAACCTTACATTTTCCAGCAAATTTTAAAAACAAGGACTTGCAGGTGTGAGCAGCTGAATAAGGCTGCAACCTTGTTCATCCCTTGTTCCTGGATTGTCTTGTAGTACAAATGTGATAGCAGCAAGTGGGAAGATACCATTTGCCTTCCCTACTTAAAAAAATAATTTAAAAACCATAATTTTCACTGTATTTACAGCCCATGTCTGTAAACATACAAAGAAGACAAAATCCAAACAAGCAGAGTTGAATATATAGCAACAGCTATAGCTACTTGCTGCTTTTCCATAATAATTTCCATGGGAACAGAAGCTAAAGCAAGGCAGTTGGAAAGATACAGGTGAAAAATAATCCTCATTGATTTTTAAAAACCTTCACTTTAATTTTGAAAAATTAGATTAAAATTAAGGCATAAGGAAGTAACTGAAGTATTAATACATCATTTTTAATTTAATAGTATTCATATTTACATGTTAGGTTAATCTGTACATTTCAAAGGCATTTGCTGCAGAGGTTCCATTCTCTAGCAACAAAATAATATTTATTCTCCCTTTATTATGCTCTGGACCAAATTAACTTCTGGTATGCTGGAGCAAAAATTACAGAAAAAACTAACAAAGTAATAGGTAACTTTCAGGAGCTGAATGGTCCCACTGATTCCCCTTTGACAATGCTGGTGCCCAAGTGCTGAGTACACTGTAGGACTGGGACATATTTCTAACCAAGTCAGCTCTGCTGTCCTCCCACAGTCCACCTCAGGTGGAGTCAATGCCATGCCTGTTCTGTCCTTTTACATGAAAAACAGTCATCTCTTTTAAAAGCTCTTCTATCGTTAGCACATTTATATTTTGCTTTTGAAGCCTAGGACAAAATGCAAATGTGGTGTTCTTACCTGCGAGCACAACGGCCAAGAACCACAGGCTCCTCATCCTCGCCATGGCTGAAGGAGGCAGGACTGCAGGCACACTCTGAAGCCTTTTATACAGGGCAGGAGCACGATAAGCACTTGTTCTGATACACAATCAGAAGCACTGCAAATATGTTCTCAGCATTCATATCATTGATGAGATTATTTCTAACACATGACCTTGCCTGCATCTAAGCAGATAAGTGAGATACAGTCTCATTTTTCCACACACTCTGTTCAACTTCTCAATTCCAACTTTGAGAGGAAAACGTGATTTTTTCATGACTTCTTATAAAATTAATTTTTCAGGAACCACTTCAGGTTTTTTTGACACAAACAGGTTCAGACACTGGGAGTCCAGTGCTTACCTTTTTCTGATTTCATATTAGCTTTTGTCACATAGATGGGTTTACAGCACAGATGAAATTTGGAGAAAAACAAACAAAGCATTCTCCATTAAAACAAGACAGTGATACTGTGACCTTTATAAAATGACATTTTTCTTCCAATTACTTGATGGCAAGAACTTTCAGAGCAAAAGTGTGAAAGCTTTGTTCTGTGGTAAGATTTGGTTTAGGTGGAATATCTTTCTGGAAGGAAAAAAATTAAACCAAAGTATTTTTATGAATACATTAAGTAACATTGGTGCCTATCAGGAGATAAGCCAAACAAAATAAATGCATTGCCAGGTATCACTGGAGAGGAACATCTGCAGCTCAGGCCAGGGCCACACAGCCCCATGTGGTGAGCAGCTGGACAGGGGGAAGCTTTTCCCAGGTCTGCAAGGGCTTTTGTNCCCGTGCTGCAAACCAAGGCTGCCCTCTGCCTCCCTAGGCTCTGCAGCACAGCAGTGCTGCAGCCCACACCTCTGCCACTGCTGGGCATGGGCCTTGGTGCACCAAGAGATGGAGGGAAATGGAGGAGGCTTCCCCAGGCCCACAACAGGGCACTGAATGTACCCTCCTGGAAACCTGCTCAGTGGGGACCGACTTGTGTTCTTCTGCCTGTCACTGGAGTTGTGCCTTTGGCAGACCCTGTGTCTGCTCCATGGCAGGCCCCTTCCCTTAGCTGGGATGTCTCAAGTTTGATCAACCCAGGCCAAACCCTTGGGGTCTGGGTGAAGGTGAGGATGGCTGAATGAGAATGGGTCAAAAGCCAGGCATTTTTTATGCATTCACCCCTTACATCAGCATTCCGATTAATAAGCCTTTACAGAAAGAAGAAGAAAACTGGGCCTTTAACAAAAGCCCACTGTTTACACAGAGGTGTTAAGTCTAATGAGAAATTAAATTATTTTTGTTACCAGAGTAATGCATAATACATTCATTTAAAATAGCCTGCGTAAACAAGATTTTACAGAATTGACTGTGACATGTATCAAGAGATGCCATGAGACTGTAGTTCAAAAGGATGGTCAGCTCATTAAAAACCCAGCATGATGGCTCCATCTGCAGACCATTCTAGAGGCTGTACTGCCTTATTTGCATCACTCATGTTAAGCCATCCTTAAATTGCTCACTGCTGCGTTCCCAAAAGCAGCTGGCAGGAATGCACCTTGATTGGCACTCTCTAAGTAGCATTATGCACTTGAGATGTGTTGATGGAAGCCAAGGAAAAGGAAAATTATGAACCTGGTGACATTTGTTAGTGAGACAAGTTTTTGCTGAAGTTAACTTACAGTTCTAGCTTGAGAAGACAAATGGTATTTTTTCAGAGGGAAAAACTAGAGCCAGTGCCATTCACTGTCATCAGTGGAAATTAGAGGCTTACAACCTCCATTGCTTGGAGCTTCCTAGACCTGCCTGCTGGAGAGTGTCAGGAGATCTGGTGCTTAGTTCCTGACACCTCAAATTCCAGAAATCTTAGCTCAGTGCTTTGATGAGTTGAGTTTACCAGCATCACAAGCCATGTATTGTAGCCTCAGAAGTTTTTTGACTTACTGAATAAACTTTTATACATGCACATAGATAATTGTCTGTTATACAGGCACATAGCCCTGTTTATAATGGAAGTCCTTCAGGGACAAGGCATAAATCTGCATTTACACCACATCTTTTGACCCCTTGTCCCACAGACCCAAGCAACAGGGTGTAAGGAAGGAGTGCTCACCCCATCACATCTAGCTTTTACAAAAAGCAATATGAATCATGTGTAGTACTCACAGCACGGTGCCAGTGCTTTTCCTCTTGATCCTGAAGTGCGCGGAATCATCCGAGAACTCCACCTCATAGTTGGCTTCTTCAGCGGTTACCCCGGGGCCATCGATCTTGAGTGGGACTTCAAACCGCTGCTTGTTGGGGTCGTAGAGCTAAAGCAAGGCGAGCAGGGACCAGGTCAGCTCACTCCTTAGCGCGCGTTGCTGTGGTCAAATGATTCCAACCCCCCAGATACTCACCCTGAACCGGAGTCTGTCCTTTGTCTGGAACTCCACTTCCAAGACGATGGGGGAAATGTCATTTCCAAAGAGGGACAAGGCCTGGCGCTTGTTCAGCGTGACTCTGCATGGAAATACACGCTGGTGCCCACCACGAGTGATCGCTGCCCGAGACCACCCTGGGGCAGGCCAGGAGAACCACCCAGCTGCTCTGTGGCAGCTCTTTAAACGAAATCATTGACTTACTGAGAGAAATAATCCCTGTGGTCAGGTTAGGCCCTCCTGGATGTTGAGGGATAAAACAGAGGCCACCAAAGAAAGGAGACCTCACGGTTTCCCGGGACACAGCTCCCAGGGTGGGAGGAGCGCTCTGTGCCCTCACCTGGATTCCTCCCCTGAGGTGTGGTGGGAGCACAAGCCCCAGTTCTATGGCCTGCGCACAGGGAAAGGCGTCCCTTTCCCTCAGTGCCACATGTGCATGCAGAGCTGAGGCAATGTTTCCGTGAGAGCCCGGCGCGGCAGCGGCGGCCGTGGGGCAGTGCCCGAGGCGCCGCACGCACTCACCTCCAGCCCTTGTCCGTGGGCTCGGCGCTGCCGCTGCGGGCGTAGCCGTAGGGACTGTCCTCGGGGAAGAAGCACCAGGGCGCGTTGGACGCCCCGGCCGAGCACCAGACGCAGCCCCGCGCCTCGCAGGCCTCCTGGGAAGCGCCGGGCTGCGGGTGGCAGTCAATGCGCTTCTGCACCGCCACGGCGCCGGGGCACTGCGCGTCCTGCTCCGAGCCCCGGCACCCGCCCAGCGCTGCGAGCGGGAGAAGCCGTCAGAGCAGCGCGGAAAAGCCCGGAAAAGCCCCACAGCACTGCCAAATTCAGCTGTTGTTTATTCTTTGGATGTGCTTTCTCCCCATCTTAGGCCTAGTGCCCATTATCCCTTGGACTGAGGTGAGGGCCGAGCAGCTGTCTGCTCACAACAGAGCAAGAGCTGCCACCGCTTTCTTTTACAAGCGCAGGCAGTGGGTCTGCATTATCCTGCACTCAGAGCTGCCTGTGCTCAGCTGAAGCACGACTTGCTTGAAATACTCATAGAAAGTTAAATAGCAGCGTAATGAGGCTGCTGGTGAGGCGTGAGAGCAACACTGCAGGCTGGCAGAATAGGAGGGATTCTTCAATAAGGACTGCTATCAATATTAAAGTGTTACATTTTCTGTATACTTATGTTATACACAGGTGTTTTCTATCGATAGAGACATAAATATGTGACAAGCAGCATGCAGTTGTATTATATAAATAGAAAAATAGTGAGTATATGTTCATATCAGGTTTCTTTTCTGTATATCATATGACAACTGTATCTACAATAGTATTAGTAGTTTGTGTTAATACAGGCATGGTTATGAGTAAAGGGAAGATGCCAGCAGTAAAAGAAAAGGCATATATTAGTCATTCTCAGAATCATCATGAAAAAACTGTTAGTAAGGTGCTAAATTTTGCCTTTTTACAGCTGCAAGTCAAGCCCTCTGGTTGAGAGCCTTTGAAGAGCAGGGGCACCACCAGACCAGTTCCCTGCTGTGCTCACAAACTGCTGTTAGTAAATATTCTCAGAGAGAGCAGACATATCACAGGCACAGTACTTGTTCTGAAGTTCATTTATGTCATCAAGATTAAATCTACTTGAACATTAATTGCCCTTTCCTACAAAATGACTAATACCTCTGCTTTTGGTTTTGTTTTTTTTTTTCCATGTGGACTGTTGTGTGCTTGAAAGCCTAAAACACGATTGCTGATGCAATCTGGGCTTCTCCACAGAAAGAATTCTACAAGCAGATGTGCACAAGCAGTAATTATGTGTACTGGGAAAAATTACAGAATGAAATAGTAGATTTTTCCTAGAGAATGCCATCATGCTGGAATGCCAGAGTTGATTTCCAAGTGGGGGATATGAACACAGAAAAGCAGGAGTGCCACCTACATTTTTTTTTGAGTAAACTCTCATTCCCCTTTTAGACAGGAACATCTGACACTCGGGTCTGATGCTCCCAGGCTGCTCAGCAGACCTCACTGCTCACTGCCACAGGGCCTCATTATCATCTTCTAGAGGCTGGAATTAACAGGAATTATCTGACTGTTAACCTCTGCCAGCTGCTGGGCAGGTAGGATTGGTTTCCACCTCTGTTTTCTGGGGCAGAGAGTCAGGTCCCACAGGCTGACTGCTCTCTGTCCAGCATTCACTCCTCCTGATACATCACATAGAAAAACTATAAATTCTTATTCTCTTTTTCATCCAAAGCATAATAGGAATATGAGCATCCTTCTGCAATCCCGCAATTATTTCTTCTAGGAGCACAAAATAAACGAAACCCATCACACTTCATTTTGGTCTGGGTGTGTTTTCTAGTGAGAGTCAAATGCAGCATTCGTGTTTTCATTGCTGAAATCAAGAAAAGTATGTCTGAACAGACTACAGCAGATTATTAATGTGGTGTCATTTTACACAGGATAGGTTTGTGGGAGAATTTTATGAACTAATTTGTATTGTAAAATACTTTCAGAATACTTCTTATCAACGATATTGTGAATGAAGAAGCTAGTTCAAAGGAAAAAACATTCCCCCTGCACGAGCCAAGACATTTCTCCCATTTTTTCTCCCATTAATGCAAACCTTACATTTTCCAGCAAATTTTAAAAACAAGGACTTGCAGGTGTGAGCAGCTGAATAAGGCTGCAACCTTGTTCATCCCTTGTTCCTGGATTGTCTTGTAGTACAAATGTGATAGCAGCAAGTGGGAAGATACCATTTGCCTTCCCTACTTAAAAAAATAATTTAAAAACCATAATTTTCACTGTATTTACAGCCCATGTCTGTAAACATACAAAGAAGACAAAATCCAAACAAGCAGAGTTGAATATATAGCAACAGCTATAGCTACTTGCTGCTTTTCCATAATAATTTCCATGGGAACAGAAGCTAAAGCAAGGCAGTTGGAAAGATACAGGTGAAAAATAATCCTCATTGATTTTTAAAAACCTTCACTTTAATTTTGAAAAATTAGATTAAAATTAAGGCATAAGGAAGTAACTGAAGTATTAACACATCATTTTTAATTTAATAGTATTCATATTTACATGTTAGGTTAATCTGTACATTTCAAAGGCATTTGCTGCAGAGGTTCCATTCTCTAGCAACAAAATAATATTTATTCTCCCTTTATTATGCTCTGGACCAAATTAACTTCTGGTATGCTGGAGCAAAAATTACAGAAAAAACTAACAAAGTAATAGGTAACTTTCAGGAGCTGAATGGTCCCACTGATTCCCCTTTGACAATGCTGGTGCCCAAGTGCTGAGTACACTGTAGGACTGGGACATATTTCTAACCAAGTCAGCTCTGCTGTCCTCCCACAGTCCACCTCAGGTGGAGTCAATGCCATGCCTGTTCTGTCCTTTTACATGAAAAACAGTCATCTCTTTTAAAAGCTCTTCTATCGTTAGCACATTTATATTTTGCTTTTGAAGCCTAGGACAAAATGCAAATGTGGTGTTCTTACCTGCGAGCACAACGGCCAAGAACCACAGGCTCCTCATCCTCGCCATGGCTGAAGGAGGCAGGACTGCAGGCACACTCTGAAGCCTTTTATACAGGGCAGGAGCACGATAAGCACTTGTTCTGATACACAATCAGAAGCACTGCAAATATGTTCTCAGCATTCATATCATTGATGAGATTATTTCTAACACATGACCTTGCCTGCATCTAAGCAGATAAGTGAGATACAGTCTCATTTTTCCACACACTCTGTTCAACTTCTCAATTCCAACTTTGAGAGGAAAACGTGATTTTTTCATGACTTCTTATAAAATTAATTTTTCAGGAACCACTTCAGGTTTTTTTGACACAAACAGGTTCAGACACTGGGAGTCCAGTGCTTACCTTTTTCTGATTTCATATTAGCTTTTGTCACATAGATGGGTTTACAGCACAGATGAAATTTGGAGAAAAACAAACAAAGCATTCTCCATTAAAACAAGACAGTGATACTGTGACCTTTATAAAATGACATTTTTCTTCCAATTACTTGATGGCAAGAACTTTCAGAGCAAAAGTGTGAAAGCTTTGTTCTGTGGTAAGATTTGGTTTAGGTGGAATATCTTTCTGGAAGGAAAAAAATTAAACCAAAGTATTTTTATGAATACATTAAGTAACATTGGTGCCTATCAGGAGATAAGCCAAACAAAATAAATGCATTGCCAGGTATCACTGGAGAGGAACATCTGCAGCTCAGGCCAGGGCCACACAGCCCCATGTGGTGAGCAGCTGGACAGGGGGAAGCTTTTCCCAGGTCTGCAAGGGCTTTTGTCCTGCTGTTGCAAAACACAGTATTCACATGAATCTTGCACACACAGCCATGAGTCTTCAGCCCCAAAACCAGGGGTCACCAAGCTGTTGGTATCATTTGTGTGGCTTGGCATCACATCTACTGGGCCAAGGGGAATGGGGATCCCCCACCAGGCACAAAAAGCCTCTCATGTGAATCTTGCATGTAAATCCACTCTCCACTGGAATTTGCTCAAGGTTGTTGTATAGTTCCAAATAATTTGTGTGTATACCCTTTGAGTAGCTAAGAAGCAAGACAGATAAACACTAAGTTGTAGTGCCGCTGCTTATTTTATCTAATTTATACGTTGTTTTTTAACAATATATAGAAATCATGACCCATTTCTATCAAAACTTGGAATACCTTGGGAACCTCAAATTGCAAGCAGTATTTTCATCTCCTTTCAAGCTGAGCAGAGAAGGAAGTAATTCCTCCAAGATCAGTAAGGGGCATCAGCACTTCTCCTTGTTTGACAGAACATATGAAATAAGGTAAGAGAAGTGTCATCTCCTAGGAACAGGAGTCACTTGCTCCATTTTATGTCTGTACTGTACTAAGTGTGAGGGAATCCCCCTAGGGTTCCTAAGTGCTATACAAACACAAATTATGGCCAAGGAGAAGACAGACATGGGATACAATGGGATAAGTGGGCTGTAGTACTCACCAAGCTATTCTACTGCACTGTGTAAAACCATGGTTTTTGTATTCAACACCTTTGCAAAGGAAGTGAATTTTTTATAAGGAAGCATGATGGACAAGGCAAAAAAGCAGTTCACATTCACATCTTTATTTGTTACCTACACAAGCTATAATTTACAGACTGATATTTTCTGAAAAATAAAAACAAAACAACCAAAAAACCTCAATATCCAAACACTGTTTCTGAATCTACATAACGTTTTAAAATTTTCAGAATTTACAAATTAATATTCAGAGCAGTTGGGTAAATTATATATCCTCCCTCAATATCTAGGTTCCAAGGGCTTTAAAAGTCATACAGGCACAAGATAAGATATTTTCTTTATACAACCATCTATTTACATAGCTTTTCCCAATAAATGTGGTTCAGTTCTCAAAGTAACTGCCAAGGTTTGCAAAACAGTGCATTTAAAATACATTTAGCAGCATAGAAAATTAGATAAAAAGAGAAGAATTTGTTTAAAAAAAAAGAAAATGTGAGATGACAGAAAGAAATCCGTAAGAAAAATAGATTAAGATATATTTATCATGACATTATGAACATCTAGTCATTACAGAACATAGGCAAAACACAAATAAAACACAGCCATTTGTGAGCACTTGAGTTCTAGTCCTGAGCACAGAGTATACACAGCTGCACAACTTTGGTCAACACAGATTATATGCTATCAACACACAAATCATATGGCATTTGCTGTTAGCAGGATACAGCCATGTCAGGTAGATGTATCATTAACAGCTTCTTCCCATCTATTATTCACTCCACTTTCCTAACAACAGTGTAAGTGACCTTTAAAGTCTTCAAACTGCCTCTCGTAATCAAAAGCTTATTCCTGGGACAGGTTCTTTCCCCTGTTACCCTAAAATGCTAAACAGCTGATCATACTTGTGAGTGAAATACAGCAGAGCACTTTTGTTATATATTTCAGGTTATTATTTTGAGATGGTCATTAGAGAAGACTGAATTCCAGTTAATTTAAACTGCAAGTATTACATATGCACACAAATTCAGCCGTAATAGATAGAGATACATGTGACTGTTGAGACTCAAGCATGTTACCAAGAGGTTCTTAAATACAGTACATATTTTAAGGACAGCAGGTCTAGTGGAAGAGTTCACACATTTTCAGTCCATTCCAGTCAGCAGTGTTTAACTAATAGACATGCAGAAAACTGCATAGAGTGCACCTCAAATTGATCAATGTATTCCTTAATCCCCCATAACTTCAATTACTGGCAAGATCTTCACTTGCATCTCCTGTATCTGAGATCTGTCCATCTATCATATTTCGAGCTTTCCAGATCCTCACAGTGTGATCACTGAAACCAAACAGAGCAGTATTAGAGCACTGTGATTACACTGGGGAGGGAGAGAGGGCCAAGGGGGGGCAGGGGATGCTTCCTTAAAAGCTTGAGTGTCTTATTCAGAAAGGTATTGTTGGCAAAATAACAGCTCTTTAATGGACATGAAGGGAGTCTCCACCTCCACGATACTTCGTAATTTAACATGTACAATATTGAAGATTCCCCAACCTAATCACAGCACTGGCTATGACCTTTAGCCATCTAAGAATATATGAAGACTTCATGCTCAAGGAAAGAGGTGTCTGTCTATCATAAGAAAAATTAAAAAAAAAAAAACCAAAAAAAACCCAAGCATAAAACCACAAGACAATATGAAGACCCAGCTCTCCAACAAAAAATACTCAAAAAAACCTAAACCCACTTCCAAGGTGCTAGATAGCACATACCAGTGAGCTGGCTCTTACTTTTGGAAAAAAATCATTATTTACACAATTTTAAAGTATGTGTAAATAAAATATCACATAAAATGTGTTATAAAACTCTCTTATAATTTAGAAGTAAAATAAAGAGTTAGTCTTGTTAAATAGCAATTTATTCCATGAAAGGGAAGTTATGAATTTCTCATATTAATGTTTAACTTGAGTGCCTAGCCAACATTGTTTCCTATGTTCCTCACAAGCCCCTCAAAAGAAACCAGCAGACAGAGCAGACTTTGTGACAGTTAAAAGTCTTTTCTGACTTGTGCCTTTATTCCAGTCTAAATTGTTAGGATTCATTTAATTTTTTTTAAGCCCACTGCTAGAAACACCAAAAGACTAAAATTATTTTATTAGAAAAACATAATGAATTTCAGATGCTTGTATGTTCTAAATGGATTCAGAATTTTTAGGCAAAAAGAGACAGAAGCTTTGACATCTCTACCCCTACCTATTAGTGCTTAAACATAAAACCTGACCACCAAATATGAACACTTGGCTACTTTGAAATCCTGCTATGATTCAGTAAGACCTGTTTGTAATTCAGAAGGCCAGAAGCTTCCACAATTGGCACAAGAATGTAACACGTCAGCTTTCACAGCTCCTGTGCTCAGACTACACCACAAAGAGGCTCTGTTGCCGTTCCCTGCATATTCTCCATAACAAGGTACTTTTCTTGGTCATTTCCCCTGAGATTTCAGTTCCTCAATTTGCTCACTTTTACTGAGCAGACAAATATTCAAATCAAGGTGTTTACAGGACAGTAGGATGGCTTGCAAAGCTTCTGCTGTATGCCAGCACTTAAAAACAAACCAACCACAAACAAACAGCCATGTGCCATGGCTTTCAGGAGAATTTGCACAGGTAAGGAATGAGTCCTGCCAGGAAAGAGTCCAGCTGTAGAGATAAGCTTATAAAGTTCTCAAATACTGCCAAATTCTCCCTGACATCCTGTAGGATCAGCGGTCTCCCAACTTGTTTTGATCATGCACTCCCTATCACTAAAATTTTTTTAAGCCCACACTGCTGTGTATGTTTATTAATTGTATACACAAACCACTGAATTATAATACTTTATTCCAGCACCCCACTGGGTCATGTTGTGCATCCTCTGGGGTGCAAGCACCCCACTTTGGGGATGGCTGTGATAGACATTAGCACTGAGGGGCATGGAGTGGACAAGGTCTCCTGATGCTTTCTATGAAGTGAGTTACACATATCCTACACACAAGTGCATGGACAGAATTCTAGCAGGGGACACAGAAAAGAAAGATTCATGGAGAAGAACTCACTCTGCTGCTGTAAAAATCTGGCTGGAGTTGGTGCAGATGGCATTTATAGGGCTGTCATGTCCCTTCATCTCCCCAATGGGTGCAAAGGGATCCACGTTCCAGAGTTTGAGGGTGCCTCCCCTGCAGCCGCTGAGCAGAACCGGCACACCGGGCACCAGGCCAAGAGCACAAACCCAGTCCTTGTGAGCATTAGGGACTTGCTGAAAGAGAGAAGGCAGACAAGTCTCACAGGCCTGCACAAAATTCCAGAGGAACAAGCACAGAAGTGGGAAAAGCCCAAGTTGTAAGTAAGCCTGATTCCTTGTCTTGCAGCAGTTTTGCTACCTGGCTCTGGGTGGCTTCTGCACCCTTAGAGCAAGGAGAGTGCTGACTTCCAAGAGTGGTTTTTTTTGTGAAATAATACTGCAATAAAAAAAGAGATCTAATATGCACAATTGACCTAATGTGGAACAGAAATCAGTTTAGGATAATGTAAAGTCTGGGTGTTTTCAAATGCATATTTGAATACATTTTTGAACATATGGTCTCTGTATATGTTTCAAGACTCTATAACTGCTATAAAACACATAAAAAGAAAATCCAAAACACTGCACAAAAATATACCAGGAAGACAGAAGCTGTTTCTGGGTTTGCCTTCTTTGTTCTTTTCCCATTACACTTTGATTTTGTGATGTTGCAGTTCACAGAAACACATTAATTTTTTGTTGAGGAAGGGCACTAGCATTTAGGTTCTCATTCAGAAAGCAAAATGCTGCACAGACGAGCTGAGAACAACATCCTTTTGTTGTTCTCAAATTTATTTGGACACATTTATTTGTTCTCACAAATAAATAAACAGGGAAAAAAAAATAAAAAACAACATGGGGAAATAATAGCCAAAATTTGTTGTCTTTTGGGGATACCAAATGTGGCTTTTCTCTAGTTCAGCTTAGTAAGAATTGCTTTGCTGCATTGCTCATAATGGAGTTCATTCAGCTTTCTAGGATCACCTTGGTGTTTCATTTATAACATGCACAGCTACCACAGCACTGGTAGTCTGATTCTGCAGCACTTCATGAAACTGGGAGTGGCAGGGGCGTGGGGTGGCTGTGGTTCCTAGAAATCCCAATTTTGTCACAGCGGGGTTTTGTGACTTGGGATGTGCAACCTCAAGTGAAGTAGATGATCTCCAATCTCTTGAATATCATGCTTGCTAAGGGATTTTCGTCAAATACAGAGGATCACACCTGGTCAACACATGTATGCCAAACCAGAACCTCTAATTCAACATTAGCCTTTCTGCTGTAAAGCAGCCTGGCTCTGTTTCATGTTTTGGTTGCTGGGTTTATTAAGGAGAGCAGCTGTTCAATCTGCAACCTTGGAGGTTTTGAAAACTCAGCTGGGCAAGGCCTTGAGAAACCAGACCTAACTACAAAGCTGGCCTTGCTTGGACCAGCATGAGAACTTTACATTGTGTAACCTCCAGTGGGCCCTTCAACTCTGAATTATCACATGATTAGCAAAGCAACAGCATTTCTCATTCCCTAAAAAAGACAGTGAATAAAAATTATTTCTATTCTGTCAAATGCTTCAGTCTCACCTGCTTCAGTCTCACCTCCTTGAAAAACATACAGCATTTTATAGAAATAGAAATAAAAAGAAAGAAGCAAGTGTGAGATTATTATTGTCATGGTTTGACACTGGCACAATGCCAGCACCCCCATGAAAATGTAACTTATCAATTGAATGCTGTGAAATACGATTGAGAACAGAGCAAATCAGGACTAAGTTTAATAATAAAGGGGATAAAAAAACTTTATTAAGCTACCACTACTACTACCATAAAAGAAAAAAAGAAAGGAAAAAAACCACACACAAAATCTAAAATGACAACTTTTAAAAACATTTCTTCTCCCACCACCCAACTCCAACAAACTACAGCAAGACACATTTGGACTCTTAATCAAGTCTTTACCCTTCTACATAATTAATATTGAGTCTATTAAGGGAGAAAGGAGTCTTCCTTGCACTATAGACTCCTAGGAAACAGAGCTGCTACTTCTTTTGTTTCCATGTCACAAATGGCACCGCCCAGACACACCGGCCAGTGTGATACTCTCCTCTCTATGTCATAGTGCTCTCATTACTGTGCATGGACAGAGACTGTTTATAGGGCTCCTTTAAGGATGTTTTGCTAAGGACTAACAGGAATAACAGTCTAGTGTTTCATTTTGGGACTACAGTGCCCCCCATTTTCCCCTGGGGCTGAGGGTTTAAGAACAGAGATTATCTTTTCTTCTTCTCTGAGGACAGAAAGCATCATCACACCTTCTTCAGCTTTTTTCTGTTCATTCCTGAACCGGTAGTTGCGGAAGGATTCTCTTGGCTCACCATTGCATCCCCTTAAAATGCAGTCTCTCTTGGAGGAAGGATTGGTTTAGTTTATGGCTAACAAGAAGAGTTTAGCCAAAAGCCACTCTATCATTTCCCCTCAGCTTTCTTTCCTTAATATTTAAGGTCTCAGGCTATTTTTCTTTCTTTTAAATTGAGGAGGAGTAATATTTCAAAAAGTCTTCATTTCTCAAGAAAGGGTTAAAATTCCTGGACTCCCCAGATGGCTAAAATCTCAGCTCAAGACTCTGTCTCCCATCTCCTACACTAAGCATCTTCCCCTCCCTCCTCTTTCTCTTCTACCAGAAAATTTCCAAATGTCTGTAGGCTCTTTTTTTTTTTCCCTCTAGGTTGGGGGGGGAGAACAAAGACATCTCAGCCCTTTTTCCCCCTTTTGTGTGGCGGCGCTGTCTCCGTTTCGTTCTGGGTCGTTGGCTCCCTGTCCTTTCTCGTTTGTCCGCCTGTGTCTGCTCCTTGTGCTTGTTCGTGTTTGGTGGGGGGGTTTTTGGACCTTTGGCTGCGTTGTGCTTGGATCCACTGGGAGTTAGTTCTCTTGGGGATTCTGTTTTTATTTCCTCTCTCTTGTTTTGGGCGTGTTTCCTTTTACTTGGTCAGTTTCTGTGTTAGTCCCTTCTGTTGGCGGTTGAGTGTGTTTCTCTCTTCGGTTTTCGCCCCTTCTTTTCGCTTGTCGGGGTTGAGCGATTATGGAGTTGTGGTTTTCGCGCCGCCCAAGGGAGGTGGTGGAGTTATTATGTGCTGCTCTTTTTCCCAAAGGGAAACCAGGGAAGTTTTTTTGCTTGTTCCGGTTTATATTTTTTTTCCCCTTTTCTTGTGTTTTTTTTGTGATTTTATTTTTTTTGCTATCGCAAATGTGTATTGTGTATTGTATTTCTGTGCGTCTAAATTGCAGGGTTGAGGCCCTTCTTTCCACTTTTTTTGAGTTCTTCTTGGGATTCCAAATTTTTTCCGTTCCTTTTGTTTTTGTTCCAGGTTGTTTGGCCCTTTTTTTTGGCCGGCCGGTTTTGGGGGCGGTTTTCCAATAGGGCCAAGTGAAGATTTTCTGTAAGATGCTAAATTTATGAATCCTTATTTTAACTGTGAAATCTTCGTAGTATTCTGAAAATGAAATGGCACTGAAGTGGATTATTTTGAATGAAGGTCAAGAAAGTTGATATATTTATGTAATACTAGGTATGCCTATATAGAAATTTTCTTTTTGAAGTAGCCAGTCCATTATTTTCTCATGTCCCAATACTTTAAAATTCTATTTGTTTCCTTGCTATCAGTCTGCATATTAAATGCATGCTCCTCCTTTCCCTAAAAATTACTGCAAAAACAGCAGTCTCTTCTGGTATTTCTTTTTCTACGTTCCAGTTCTCACTCAGCCTCAAGTTTAATAATCACAACTATACCTCAAGAACCTCTCATAAGACCTAGAAGAAAAGAACAGCTTATAGCAGGTCGACAAAAAGCAAAGTTCTTCATGCCACACAAATTGCAGATTCCCCAGATTTGAGGTCCTTTTATACCCACTCCCTTTTTTTCCTTTTTACGTAAAGGAAAAACATACCGCAAATGTGTTCTGACAGCAAGTGTTGTTATAAGTGTGTTGTATACATAACATCACACATGCACTGTATAAGGAGATGATCTAAGGTCTAAGACTGGGTGGAGTGAGATAGGCTGTAAAACCTCATCACAAGAAAACATTCTGTAGCCTGATTTAAAGTATTGTTTCTCATTAATGAGTTCCCAATCCAAAATTTACTAACTTGTCAAAGACAAGTATTCAATGATTCCAGTCACAGATGAGGCAAATGCTGTTTTTATTCTGAAGCAGAAAAACAACCCCCATGTACTCAGAGCTTAAACAGGATAACCACTTCATCACAATTTCCTGATGCTACATGCACACAAGAGAAAAGCAACTGCATGTAAAGATCAAGTACATTATTGATTGCTTTCTTAGTCAATGCTCTATGCCTTCCCTATTAAAAGCATCAGTGTCTATGTGAATAGTCATTGTATGAGCCTGAACATTTATACAGCCTGAAAACAGTTCTACAGCGTGACTGTCACAGCCGTTGCATGATTTCTTTCATTACCTGAAGAAGGTCTTTTTGAGGCAAATCCCATTTCTTAATTCCATTATCTCTCGAGCCACTAAAAAGGTTATCTCCCATAATAGCAAGTGCTTCAATGCCATCATAATGAGGAGGTTCAAAATTGTGTGTAGGACTTACACTTCCAAGAGCCCCTTCAGTCACATCAAACATCTAAAATAAATAATGAAATATGTTACACGAAATATTCTGTCATCTAATCAGCTTGAAAGTCATGCAGCAAATAAATTTAGGGAAAAATCTTGTTACAGTCTTATTACAGGCCACAGTATCACGATGTATATTTGACAGAATTTATCTACCAGAACTACTCCTTTCTCCTCTTCCACCTCCTGCCTGAAGTGGGAATACTCCACTGACTTCAGAGAAGTACTGGGAAGAAGTACTACTACTTGAATATCATATACACAGCAGCTTCACAGGAAGGGCCCATATATACCCTGTGTGATGGGCTAGAGAAACAAAGTTCATGGGTGAGTTTGGGAAACATAACTCACTCTGGGAGAATTGCACAGGTAAGTAGCTTCAGAAACAGGACTCATGTGTTTTTCTGGACAAGTTGTTTTGGTAACGGTTGCATACTATTACACACTGATGCTTTTCATGGACTAGACACACCTCTCTCCTTGCCTGTGCTCCAAGAATGGGGTGTTAGAACAAACTCTTTGAGAAAGGTTGTTTTAACAATTTAAGGCAAAATCAATGCCATCAGGACTTTGTTGCTAGAGATGCAGTGTAAGCAGCATTCATTTTGTATTGTAGGGAACCAGAACTCACCCAGTGAGACTGAGCTGAAAGAACAGATGAGCTGTAACTCTTTAAACCATCATCTCTGTTTCACAAGCAAATGTCAAATGTTATTCTCTATTATTTGCTCTTTATTGGCCTTTTAGAATAAATAAGCTTGACAGTAGAAAAGGGAGAGCTTGGTAGTGTAAAATAGTACCTTCTGAGCTAAAAATATTTGAAAATAAGTTACTGCATTCAATTAACATGCATCAGTTCCAATTGTAACAAAATATTCAATGATAAACCAGAAAATCCAGGTTCCTAGAGATGACTAATATTACTGACTCAGTAGTTTCCTGTGGCATGACAGTATCTGTCACCAGACCTGGCAGCCCAACAGCCCTATCCATGCAGAGACCCACAGATTGTTAAGGGGTTAAAATGGACCTCAATGATCATGTAGTCCCAACCCCTCTTCAGTAGTAGGGACACCTCCCACTATACCAAGCTGCTCAAGGCCTTATCCAGCCTGGCTTTGAATACTGCCAGTATTCCCCTTTTTCCATCTGTACTCATTACTCCTGGTTTGTCACTACAGTTCCTGATGAAGAGTCCCTGTCTGGCTTCCCTGTAAGCCCCTTTCTGATACTGGGAATTTATGAGGTCTCCACATAATCTTCTTTTCTGGGCTGAACAGAAGCATTGAGAATTCATAGACAGCTGCTCATACAGATCATTTATAATATCTAAAGTGGCTTGACAATTCTGGAGACATTCACTTTGGAGAACACACACTACTCTGAAGCACATAGAAATTGCTGAAATATCCCTGGACATTGTAGCGGTATAAGTCAAGAGGCAGACTTTGGAGGATTTATGTAGCCTGGCTATGGAAAGGAAGGACAGATAAACTTCTCTGACTGTTGACAGCTTTGTTTTCCAAAAGCCCTCCCACCTCCTTGATTGTCACAGGAGCTCACAGCATGACAAACTTGCATTACATGATCCCAATCTGTTGTTCCCACTGAGGTCCTTCATTCATACCGTGCTAGGATGGCAGCTCATATCTAAAGCAATATCCTGAACTGTGCAGAGAAGTCATTCTCAGAGTGTCTGCCTGTCTCCCCATTGCCTAAGATTCCCCTGGCCTCTAACCATAGGGACACTGCTGATAGGATTCAAATCCACAGCCCAAACTGTCCAACTATGCACCAACCTCTCAGGCAGTTTTTTGCATCTGGCACAGTGCACAGCCAAGCATCCAAGAATTGTAGAATAATATGAAAAAAAGAAAGCCTAGCTCAGTGAGAAAGCTCCCACAGGTTCTGTATCCTGCTCCACCCCCAGCTGTGTTCATACACTTTTTCCAGTGTGTGAGAAGAACAGAACACAGGGTATCCCCTCATAACAAGCTAGGGTTTCTTGTCCATTCTCTCTTTGGCCTCATGTATCACACGTTGGCTTTACGGATCATTTACAATTCCTTACGTCTGGTGATTTAGGTGCAGCCCTGAGAAACAGGAGCTTGTGGGTTCAAATAGCCACTGGCTGAGGAGAGCAAAAAAAAAAAAAAAGAAAAAAGAAAAAGAAAAACCCTCCTCCCAAAAGCCAGATTCCATATCCTTGAGTGAATTATTCACAATTCCGAGAAACAGAAAAGTTTATTCGTCACCATGACTGAGAACTGCTGACCTTGTGGTCTTCCTCACTTCAGAACATAGGTGACACTTCAGAAAGAGCCTGGGCAAACCCTGGACTGTGTTATGTGAGGAACACACAGGGTGTCTCTGCTGAAACAATTAGGTCTGCACTCCAAAACAGAGGCATTGACTTAAGTTACTTTAAAGAGCTAAATGTTATCTAAAAGTAGGTGCAACAAATATTTCTCCGATACTTTGTACACCCAACATCCAATTTAATGGGGATTAAAAGAAAAACTTAACTGGAGACAACCATGGATCCATCTTCCTTGGAGAAACAAAAAAGGCACTGAATTGGTAAGTATTATGATTGAATATTATTCATGATCCATGAGTGGTGAAGTAATTTTCATCTTGGCTATCACATTTTGAATGTGTAGATGTAAGCCACTTCTGCTGAAGCCTGCATCCCATGCTGATGTGCCAAGTTAAAATAAGCAAATACCAGTGGTTTACCTTTATATAATGATCCTTTGAACCAGTGATAATAAGATCTTGTCCATTGGAGATCTGATTGACAGTAAGGCACATAACAGGACCCTGATGACCAGTTAGCTTTCCTGTAGACTGAAATCTTTTAAGGATGAGAGAAGTAATGAGGATTTGTTAACTTTTCATATATCCAGTACAGTCCATAGCACATCTTCTGACAGAATGGATTTTTTTTTTATTTTCCCTATGTCTTCAGTACTCATCCTCTTGTTTACCTATACTCTATTGTTCATATCCATGGATAACTATTACATCTACGTTAAATACAACAAAACCCTTTCATGTATGCAAAATAAGAATTAAAACATTTTAAAGTAAAGGTGAATCAGTCCCCTGATAAGTATTTTCTGTATTTTGAATGCAATCTTTGGGAGCAGGTTGTCTTTGGAGAAGTGCAATTATAGTGCAACTATCATAATCTTGTATTATTTATTGCATTACTTCCATTGACTTCCCTCATCTCATCAACAATTACTAGTCAGGATTCCCATTCTCACCTTACAATGAAACCTTGTGTTTTTCCTGTCATTTTTACCGAAATGATTCACCACAACCTTAACACATGAGAAAATTACTATCTCAGTAGCCACCACAGATTGATTAGCTGATCTGTAACTGATACCATATTTTGCCCAGGTATGGACACTACCATATAGAAGAAACTGATTGTTTCATGTGCACAACTTTGCTGCCTATGCACACCTAACCACCTAAAGAACATTCTCTTTGGCTGGTGTTCAGTACCTTTTCAGGTCCCACATCCTCACTGAGTTTCCAGCAGCTGCATAGAGGAATGTGCCAGTTGGATTTAGTGCAATTTGATTGATCTGGTTCTCTCCAGCTGGGATAGCAACTGTTCTGTTAGTACTTCCTGAACACACATCAGCAGGCATAGCTTGTCCTGAAGACCTGAGTTGAGAAGGGGAAAAAAGGGAAAAAAAAGAAAAAAAACAAATTCTACAGTTTATTTGCCACACTTCAAATTGTCTCTATAAACAAATCTATTTCACTGAGTAGAAAAGGCTACAAGCCAATTATGAATACTAAACATCTGATAAAATTCTGTATGTACATTGTTCTGTGTTTCCTTTACTGGTGGCCCATACTGACTTAGCCTGAACATGTAAAGAAAGCTGCCATCCCCAACAGTGTACTCATATTACACTGTACTACAATATTGAATTAAATATAATAAAATGTATCTAAAACTAGGACTCATCTTAATGCTTGGCATCTGAGGCTCAGCATACTCACGTCAACGTCCGAATGCACTTTGCGGAATCTCTGATGTCCCACACCTTGATATAGGAGGTTGAAACTGTGAAAACCAGGCTTGTGTAGTTGCAGTATTTAACAGAAACTACATTATTTGGATGACCCCCTAAAGACATAATCTCTTGTCCAGTTACCAGATTCCAGACTTTACAGGTACGATCTAAATAAATACAAACAAAAAGGGGGGAAATATTAACAATAATTTAAAAAAAAACTCTGAAAAATCTTGTGCTTTTCCTAAACACAGTTAATTAAAATAAATTCATTCATTTGCACTCATACACTTTCCTCCATTTCTGTAGGCAGTGCAGAAAAACAGCTAAATAAAGCAATTCTTAAAAAATATACATAGGCATCTGTCATCACCAAAACTAAGCAAGGTTAATCATTAAATGTGCTTTCAAGATCTGCATATTAGCTTTCAAAGCATTTAAATAATAAAAATCTTAAGGCTAGTGAAATTGCAGACAATTTAAAGGCTATAAAGTGTGGATGATGATAGATGAAGAGAAGAATCCAATTTTTAATTCAAGAATTCATTATCAAAAACATAGCTCAGGACAAGTTTTGAGACTTAGCATGGCCAAGTTCAAACTGACACAACAAAGCTACAAAGGTGAGAAAGGACCCAAACTCTTCAGTGTTTTGGAGGCCTCTGAAAATCCCAGCAGAGAGTGCTTTAGTCACACTTTTGATTCTGTAGCAAAGTAATTTAAATACTACAACCTTTTATGTGTTGAAATTCCAAATGCATAGAAGTTTTCAAGAAATCTGCAACACTATTGGCAAGAACAGGAAACTCTCCTTGCTGCACCATCTGTATCACTCCATGTATTTTAAACATACATTTATAATGAAATAATTACTGAAAAGATGAAGAGAAAGCTTCATGTATAGACTCTAGTTATGATAGCATGATGGTAAGTTTAGCAAGACCCTTCTGCCTCTTTAAAACACCAGCTACCAAGATCAAAGATCTGCAATGCCCATGAGCGCTTACTGGCATTTCTGAATTTGTGTGCAAGTATTATCTGATGTCAGTGAGCTGAGACTTTCTGCTTCAGCAACAATTTCCAAAAGATGTAACTTTATTTAATTAAACAACTGTCTACACTCTTGAGTAAAAGCATACTTGGTAAACTCCCCTCAAAAAATATTTGCAGGAAAAATTCTCCCATAGGTTTAAAAAGCTAGGATATGACTTCAAAAAGGTGAATATTTCAAACACCTGCAAATATCCATTAAGCAAAACCACCAAACTTTTAGAATGCAAATCTAGATATAAAACAAAATGTTATAACATGCCCTTTTTTCCCATCACATAGCCACTATATTCAAAATCTCAACAGAAATCAACTAGGTATTATTTACAAAATCTAAATCAATGTCCTTTTTGCAGTTGTATATGCTTGCACAAATGTTGAAATGTTGGCTTAAAACCGGCAAGATCAAGAGTTTGCCAATTCAAAGTGTCTGATTTGGTATTTTTAACAGCCAGCTAGTAGAATATCCACAGAAACCACACCTGAATGTTAGCAGTGGAATACCTGCATCTAATAGTGTTGTCAACTACGCTAATACTGGGATAAAAGGGATGTCCTGAATGTCAAGGGATGTCCTGAATATTCATTATACGAACTAGTGAAAAGGAGAATCTCCCTGTCAACAGATGTTAACTTCTTCCCAGCCACTCTAATTCCTCTTAGCTTTGATACTTTCAGAAAAAAAAATAATTTGTCATAGTTGCAGGTACACAATATAAGATTATAACAAGTCCTTTATATTAAAATAGGTGTTTGTGAAAAGAAACTATTGAGCTCCAGTGGCCTTTGGCAGTATCTTCAAGACAAACTGAGCAATGATACTTGAAATTCACTACAGACAGAAGGAAAATGTTTTCTCCAAAACACCACTTCTGTCAGTTTGAGTTTATCGAGTGACTGCACCATCCAGTAAGGAACTTGGAGACTACTAAAATTCCAGGCCCTCCCATGACTGCCATGCAGTTCTTGTAACAGGATGCACAGAGGAAGCAAAAGATACCCTCAGATGAAGAAGATAGTTCAAAGAACCAACTATGGCATAAGGATATTCAAACTCTGTGCAGCAGAGACAAACATGTGCCAATTCCCACCTCCACCCTGAAGCTATTTGCATTGCATATCATGTGTGCACATGCTACCATGACTGCTTCCATCATATCACTCAACAAACGTTAATATTACTGCTTTTTGTGGTTTTCCACCACAAATAAGCAACCAAATACTACACATTGGAGTTAGAAACCTGTAGATAATTACTGTAAATCCCTCTTCAGCTCATGTTGAGAAACAGACCCTTAGAATTTTCCACTGTGTTTACAGCACTAAGCACAAATTGAGAATTTCACAACACCTCATGTTGTCAAAGCAGCCTCTGCAGGTAGCAGAGGTGCACAGAGCTTGCCCAACCTTTTGACCCAGTGAAGAGAAGATCATCAGTTGCATCGACACAAAGCACAGCCTTGGTGTGTCCCTCAGCTGTATAGATACACTGAAGCGGGGTCGACCGGATGCCTTTTGAAGCAGGAAATGGGTTAATTATCCCCCTAAGGAAAAAAAAAAGGAATGTGAGTTGGGCATACTAATAGATACAGATAAAGCTAATTTACTTCCATCTAGGGAAAAAAATTAACTTAGTATTCTTAGATGCAAGAGCAGAACAGCTGAATGCCTTTCATTAACCATGTAAGGACTTTTACTATTTAGCCTCAACACATGTCAATTCTGGACTATCAGTTAAAGGAAATCACATACCAAAACAAACAAATGAAAAGACAACAAGATGCTAAATGTAGGGTACATGGCAAACTCTGCATAATGCTGAACAAACCAGGACACTTAAAGCTTCTGTATGCCCAAGATCAACCATCTAAACAGCACACTCTGAAAAATGGAGCGAATGTAACATGCACTCCAAACTCAGTGTGCATTTCACATCATCTGCATTCTCTGGGCAGACACAAGAGAATTGCTGTTAACTTCTGTGCCTGAAGAAGTTCCCGCTGCACCCTGTACCCAACAACATGCTCATGCCCAAATGACCAAAGGGAGGATGATTGGAATGCTGACACCCCAGAGGAATCTTCATGGGCACTTTCAGCTAATTCTGTGGTGGTGCCAAAAGACTAACTTGCCTGAAATAAACACCTCACAATTCTTTGCCAAACAAAAATTACTAGCAGTCTAAAATCCCATGCATACAAGTGCATGCACACCAACCCTTTATTTCTGTGAAATGTAGAAAAGCCTCAAGGTAATGCCCAAAACATGCAACACAGCTGTGACCTGATCAGCTTGCAGTTAAGACTCACTGTCATGCTCTTTTGGGAATCACACACATAACTGTGAGGAAAAATAACTAAACCATAGCCTTATCTCATCAAAACAGAACAAAACTATCAGATACTTTAGGAAAATGCAAAAAAAATGCCATATTGTCCAGAAGTATGCTACAGAAAGAAAAAAATCCTTTATGATACAAGCTAACTTTGTGACAACTGGTTAGTTTATCTAGTACTTTAAAATTACGATTTGAAACATTTTTCACAGTGCAGGACATCTTCACTCATATATTTCATTACTCCTCAGCAATCCTTCTATAGATTTTATTAGTATTAATAGCATCTTAAATTGTGTAACATTATCATCCTCCTTTTGGAAATGCGCTCACCTTTGATCTGCACCATTTTATGTTTTCAAGAAAACAGGAACAATTTGCTTTTTAATTAATTTAGATCTCTATGCTTTTGTTTTCTAGTATCACACTAAACTAACATGATTTTCTCTGTAGTATTCCCTAGTGGATCATGCTGCCTCTGAACTGAGTTATTCCCTCCTTCTGTTCTCACCCTCTCACTCCCATGACAAGCCATGTAAAATACATGTCCTGGAACTGTTTATCTACTTATATGCAGTGTTCTAAAATCTGCAGATAAAAAATCACTACAACTATTACAATGACCAGCCAAAGCCACCATTACATTATTAGCAGTTATTTGACTGCCCTTCTCTAGATAAACTCATTTTTCATTGAGTACCACAATCCTAACCCACAGGGACACAAATGGCAACATTTCTTTCATCTCTTAAGTCACCGTGCATTCTCTCAGAAAGACACAATAAAAACCTACTTATTTTTATTTATATTAGGATTTCATTTTTAGTGATCAAAGCATACAACTGAAAAAGAAAAACAAGGAGAGAAGCAAATAAAACATAAGAAAATGCTCCTGTTTTTTTTTTCTTTTGATCAAAACAGAGAAAAAAATGTGTCTAAGAAAATGTTTACACCATACTTCAGTTATAATTAAAATGCCTGACATGCTCAACGATGATAAAAGAACACCCTAAAAAGGATAGGGGGAGACATGCTTGACCCAAATCTCAGATATTTCATGTTTCAGCAAAAGCAACAGAAACAATACACAGGTGTCAGGAAAAACCATGCAGCAAAATGAAGTGTCTTAAGAACTGGAATAACTTTGGTGAGAGATGCCAAGAAAACAGAAAAGACAAAGAGAGAGTACCTTTGTACCTCCGACAGAGAGGAATCACTTTCATCAGACCTACAATCAACAGTGGTGGAGTTGTGAGGAGAAAGAATATAGGTATCAGCAAAGGAATGCCTCCACATGAGAAGAACAAACAACAGCATGGCCAACTCAGAAAAGCAATGCAAATCAACATACATTATGCAGCATTGCTCAAGGTATATCTCAAACCCATAATGATATGGGGGGGTAGGGGGGAAAGAATAATTATCTTAAAATATCACTCTCAGCAGTAAGTTACAGTAGACTGTTTCAGCTCCAGAAGATGAGTAACAGCAGCTGAGCCATTTCTTATTTCCCCAACATTTTCTTAGAGAAGTAAAGGCAAAAAATTAAAAGAAGATAGATGCCCAAGTTAACCTCAATAAGGTCGTGCTTGCTGAGAATATCTAAAGAAAAGAAATTACTCTGAACATGAATGCCTTCTAAGTGTATAAGATACATGCAAAATATTAGTCATAGAGATATAAATATTAAATATTATAACCCACTCAAATAAATACAGCAATTTGCAAGCCATGTTAAGTTCAAAATTCTTCACCTCTCATTTGGAAAAATGTTTAAAAATAAAAAACAAGAAAACATAGAAGACCATATTTCCCCAAGACATGATGATTTTCAACATGTCTCATGATGTGCTTCATTTTCAACTCAAACTGATTCAGCAGATTCTATTTGACTTGAAAGTCAGTTCAGAGAAAATGAAAAGGGTTTGGTAGGAGTTAGCAATGAGAAAGGTAAGCTAAGATAAAGAAGTCACAAGCACAGTTACTGAAAGCCTTGCAAGCCACTGCTTGGTATTTGGTGGTTGTAGACCTGTGAAAGAAACCCATTTTATTCAAAAAGATAGTATAAACAGACAAAAGCAATTTCTTGTCTTGCTAGAGTTACAAATAAAGGTTTATTTTAAATCTGAGTTGCAGTTCATAAGCACTGCATGGTATTTGTATCAGTACTGAAACCTGCAATAGCGATTCTAGTCAAGTAAAGTCCACTGCCATTTGGAGTAAGACTCCTAAACAGATGCCTAATGTGAGACAAATCTGTTCTACTTCTTCTAAACAAGATATAAATATCATCTACTCCTGCAAATCACCTCCTTAAATCAGTCTGTTCAATAATTTGGATCATCTCTAAACAACTGGGTGCTAGCCATTTCAATATCCCATCCTCTGAGGTGCTGTTGTGAGAGCACTCTGAGCAACAGTGGAGCAATTAAGTAACTGTCAAAAGCACTGTTTCCTAAATTATCACCTAAAATCTATTTTTGAGCGTAAACACACATACAGATACACAAACATCTAAGAATTCTACCATTTTCTATTTTGGGTTTAAAACTACAAATACCAGACATAGCCTAGAAAACAGGAAACAAGGTTCAGCAGGAAATTTCTCAATTTTTTACAGTGGTCCCATTGTAGTTTAAAATATTTCCTTTGAAAACTACACAATAACATGAGAAATATCTCCTCCTGTCTTGCAGAAGGGCAATTTCTACCAGACACTACACTGAAAACTTGAGCACACTTTGCATTTCCCTGGTTGGGGGCTGAGGCTTCCCTTTGTGACTTACTTATCCTGCTGAACTGATGTGTTTCCCTGAGAAACAGTAAGACGACTAAAAACATTCATTTCATTACGGGGCCGGCTTGGTGGGGAAGTAGGAGGTGACAGACTAGCCTCTGGGGCTCCAGAATCTGAGCTACAAAAAAAAAAGAACATCTTCTTTAACAGGTTATGAATGGTTAGAAAAGTTAAATGCAACATGCCTCAAACGTTAGATGCTCTTTTCTTAAGCAGATAATTAAGAGTGTAATACTAGCTACAGATATTTCTCAGAGAATGCAAAAAGCTTAAGGCTGCAGAGTGCAAGATGGCACCATGTTCAAAGATTAAGTGGCAAAAGTGAAAGCTACAGGCAGAAAACACACATGTAAAACAAAGAAGTTTTTATAAAATTGAAGGCTCTTAGAGAGATTGTTTGCTTTGATTTAAAAAAAGAAAAAAAAGTTATTTGCAAAACGCTCCAAAGGATATTTTCTCAGGGCTCAGGGCTCTGCCCCTGAGTTATTTTGTACAGAAGAGCAACCTGGAAAAAACCCAAAACAACCATGCATAAGCTGAGCAATGAATATCAACACTGACAACAATACTAACTGTCCTGGAAGAAAAGAAATTGAAAAAGACATATATATTTCTCAAGAAAATTCAAAGTTCAAATTATGTAAGATGAAATAAATTTAAAATAATCTTACAGTTTTTGTTCTTTTGTCTTCGTCTTTTCCATTGTTTTCTCATAGGCTTTTCTTTTTGCTAAAGGTGAAGGCTCAGGTATCTTCTTCTCTGGAACAGATGATTGCCTTGAACTAAAACAAAAGCAATCATTTTTTCACTGTAAGGCCCTTCACAGAACATTACCTGTCATTCTGTCAGTGTAGTTTCAAAATTTAGAATGTACTTAAACTATTATTGTCTCTCTTGAATCTAAGGATTATAAACTTGTTCTCACACTTGAATATGAAAATATACCACGTTACTAATGTTCAAAGTTGATCAACATACAGTGTCAGATACTGAATAGTTAAATGAGATTTACTAATTCAATAATAAAAGAGAGACTCACTAAAAGAAATAAAGTGGAGTATGCATCCAAATTAAGATCATGGAAGTTCTTAAATTTCAGATTCCACATTTCCATCTACAATAGACCATTTACGATAGACATGAAGAACACATGATTCTTATACACAAATGAATCTTTGCAGTAACATATTAATGTTAATTAGGAAGTGAGAAGTACTTCCCATTGGCAATCTAACTATTAACATGCCTTCTCTTTGTCCCCCACTTCCCTTCTCCATTGCTTTCCATCCCTCATTTCTCACTCCAGTTCTTGCTCTGAAACAATTCCAATTCACAATCACTGTGGTCTTTCTCCCAACCTTTTATTCCCCACTAAAATTATCAAGAAGACAATATTAAAGCTGACACCCAAATATTCTCATTTCACCACAGTCAGACAAAAGAAAAAAGAAAGGAATCTGAGTGGTCTCCATTCTTCTGAACTTCCATTTCTCACTAGTTGAGCAATCACAAAAGCAACATTTGTTTTCTATTTTCCTACATCTTTGCATTTAGAAGGATTTTTTCTATGAATATGAAACACTCATTAAAAGCAAGAAAACAGATTCCGTAAGTGTTTTTGCTCCATGCAGCTCCATTAATCAGATAAAGCTCATTTAGCAGGCCACCTGCCTGACATGGTTACAACTATCAGTCTCAGAGCTCTACAGGTTCTGAACATGCATAGCTCCAACTTCTCTATATGTTTCCCTTAAGAGCTACATAAAATCCACCTGGAGACTGGAATGCAGAATAATATGATTTAACATGGACAGCACAACAACAAACAGCTACTTGACTCAAGTAGATGAGACACTCTCAAGTGATCACAAACCCTAACTGGAATGTGTGGGACCTAGTGCCAAGAACTGCATGTCAACCCTAGAGTTCCCTGGGGTCTTCAAGAGATAGGAAAAGGAGGACAATTGATAAGCTGCCTGGTTTTGCACAGAAGCCTAACAGTTAAGCCATAAAAAAAGGGGAGAAAGTGGGTCCAGTCCCCTCAATGCCAGAGCACCCATTTCTATTGTAGGGCTTCCTTACCTCTAGGAATATTGTGCAAAGGACACTCCCTTCCCTCTCTTTATGCTGGACCAATATGCATTTAGGAATGCAAAAATCCTGAGGTCACAAGGCAAATTCTATGAAACAGGCTGACAGGTCTTCCAGCAAGGATGACAGACTATAGTGTCTACTGCCAGGGTTGCTTATATGTCTACTGAGCAGCTGCTTGATTAAATAAACCAAACCAGAAACTGGAACTCGAGCTCATCTGCCTCACACTGGCATCCAGCATGCTCAGACAACTTTCGCTTGCTCACGCTCTACCTGCCCTTGAGTCTTCCATCTTTGACTCTACAGTGGAACATCCTCAGAAGAGGGTGTAAATAGCATCATCATTTTCTGAATTCTTTTTGAAAGCCTAAGAATGCAGGTATTCTAAAAATGCAGCTATCTTGCTTCCTAAGCACAGGTGTAAAAACCAGGTGCATGATGTCAATGACCTAACAGAAAAGGAACAGGACACATACCTACTTCCAGGTTTCCAAAGCCCTTTTATATTTGCCAGGACATCAGACATCTGAACAGAGCTGACACAAGTCCTACAGAAGATAACTATACTCTGAAAAAGCTGCTGTAGATGAGGTGAGCATATCAAAGGACAACAGCACTAAACAATTTTAACAGAATTCCAGTTAAATTAACTGTTGGCCATATGTATTTAGGTGCCTCCTTAAATAACAGAATCACACAATGGTCTGGATTGGAAGGGACTTACAGATCACCTAGTTTCAACCCCCTTCTCTTAGGCAGGAACACATTCCACTAGACCAGGCTGCTCTAAGCTCCATCCAACCTGGCCTTGAACACTTCCAGGAATGCAGCATCCACAGCTCCTCTAGGTAACCTGTTCCAGTGTTTGACTCTCACAATAAAGCATTTCTTCCACTGTCTCATGTACACCTACAATCTTTCAGTTTGAAGCCATTACCCCTTATCCTATCAACACATGCCCTTGTAACAAGTCCCTCTCCAAGGACCATGGAATCACAGCAAACTTTAGAAAACTGAGGGGTTCCAGAGTGGAGCAGTTTGTACATATGCGGACACCTAAATCTGCACCTGAACATATAATTAATTTCTTTCTCTTTGAGAATCAATATTTTGGATTACTGCTATGGTCTCTACATTCCTGAATGTCACGTAAGTAATGGCACAAGGGAGAAAACATTTATTGCAGGTAAGGGCATAGTCTCCTCCTGAATTATATATTTTATTATGAAAAATATGCTGGCGCCACAGGCCCATAAGGGAAGGCCAGATGGGTCATAAGGACAAGCTTTCTTCAACTATGACCAGATAAACCAGCAAGAGTTCTAGTTTTGAAAAAATATATATACTTGCAGTGAGAAAGTCACTGCAGATTGATTGTGGAATTTTTTGATCACTTAACTACTAAAACATGATCCAAGACAATTCAATATATGAGGCCTACTGCTGACTGAATTGACTTTTTGACAGTATGTAACTCTCAAAGTCTTTCAGAAATCAGTTTTGGGAAAATCCTGTTTTGCATTTTTACTGGCTCACTTTCATAAATGGATACATTCTAGAAGATGGACCAAGGCAAAAGTTGATATTACCTGAGTCTTGGATGTCAGGTCATAATACATGATGTTTTAGATCTTGAAGCTTCAAAAGTCTCTACTCATCTCATGCTAACTGCTGAAACAAGTAGGTTTTCTCCACCTATGCTCACCCTCAAGAGCATTCTTTCCAAGCAGATTCTATTTGCATTGAAGCCATCAGTATGGGTTAATAATTGCTGTCAGCAGTGTTTTAAGGTTCACGATTGCCACCACAAGCACATGCCAGAAATACATAGTAAAAAATACAAATTGCAAGTGTACATTAGGCAGAGACTGCTGTAAAAATATTATGCAAATAGGACAGATGAATATTAAGCGATGCATGACTCCAGAGCCTGTAACATTAAGATAGCTACAGGACACTGATTTCCACATCACTGAATGTGGGAAGTGCACTGAATTTACACATGTGCTTGTGCAACATAGGAGCTACTACCTAAAAAGCCAAGGAAAGGGTCTCTTGCAGTGAATAGCTAATACCTAGCAGTGGTAGTGGTAGATAGAAAATGAACAACAAGAGTAAGTGAAAAGAAAAAAATAGTGTGAGTGCATGTGAGAGATATCTTCTGGTCCCAAAGTAAAAAGATAAAAATATTTTTATCTGTTTATAAAAAATAAATATTTTTATCTGTTTATAAAAGATAAAAATAGTTTTATCTGTTTAGAATCAAGAGATACTTTCAGTTAGTAATATTCTTCTGCAGGTAAGTTGACAATCTGCAAACAGAAAGGATTTTTGAGGATTCATAATATCTAACATTTTCCTTTCAACTTTTTACTTGAATACTCCATTGTTGCACAGACTTCTTTATTTCATGCACGGTCCATACAAGACAACTCATAGAATGATTTTTCCTAATAACTAGGACCATATACAAATACCATGATAAAGTTTTCGAGTTTTCGGGTCGTGTGTTGTTATTTTGTTTCTTTTAAATCTCACTGCTGTTCTAATCAGATTCTCACTATCTCCCTAGAATGTGCATTTCCCATAGCACTAATACAGCAAATTATTCAGGGTATTAGAGGGGTTTTCCCCTCTACATAGAACACAGTTACAATAGCTAAGCAGCTTAACAGAACTTACATCCTCAATAAGAACCACAGTACTTACAAGACTGCATTTACACTTTCTAGAGTGGTGGTGGTAGAAAGGAAGGAGCTTTGTCAGGATTATTTAGTAAGTTTCAAGTATATTAACCTCATTTGTAAAGTTAAGATAATAAATTACAAGAAATTGGTGACATGCATTTTTTAAAAGCAAAGGATAATTAGCACAGCATGGCCAAACTTACATGCTGCCTATCTTAGAAGGTAAGCCAGATGGTGGGGGTATAAGCTCTCTGTCCCTAGCAGAAGTATCATGTGTGTCAGCAGCCACCCCACTTTCTTGGTTTTCTGCAGCTGACGTGGCAGAGCCAGCCGAGGCAGAGTCTGCAGCGCTGCTGTCGGAGACCAGGTCGCTGTTGGCTGCATACAGCAATTCCATCTGGGTGGTGGTCCTGCGGCGGGCCTGGAGACAGACAAAAACCAAACTGCCACTTCACCATGCCGTGGTGTGTGTCAAGAGTCCTACACTCAAGCTTAGCATTATTAGCTGGCAATTAGCATCCCCCTCAAGCACTTGGCAACTGCCTTTGGAAACTAAACCAAGAAGCTCGTCTCTGCTTTTGGGCAACAATTTCAGAGGAGGCAATTCAAATTCAATGTCCAACCACTGATTTGACAACTGGTTTTCAACTATATCTTTTCAACCAGCTGCCTGCCAATACTACAGGAGGACAATATTACTTACCTATGGTTTATCCAAACGAAATGTTATAAAGCAGAGAGCAATAAAGCAAAGTGGCAATTTAAAGAGATACAACTATACTGGTGTGACTTCTAACATCAATTCTTCTTCTCATATACAAACTCTGCTTCTACTTTGTTTAAGTCACCTCAAAAGTCCACATGAATTAAAATTCATTCAGCATTTCAACAATTTGAAAACAAGAGAAAAAGTCACAACAACTTTGTGCAACACAGTAATTTGTAAAACACTGATCACACATGTTAGGTGTGATTTTACAGTGAATTTAAGATCTGTTCCTCAGGGAAAGAAAGACCAATAGGGAAGACAAAGATCCAGTCAGAAAGGACCATTACAAAAATGATTTGTTTATTTCATTGCCTTTTTGGACTAAACTCACTTAGTTAAACAACCCAAAAAGCTGCACACCAAGGAATGTTACCAAATAATTCAACAGCCAACACAGATGGTTTCTTCCAAAGCCAACTGCAGTTGGAAAACTGGAGACTAAGCTTCTATTTACTTTCCAAACTATGTTTGTGCTTCTGTTAGCACAGAAGCAAAATTGCCATCAGTGCACATTTCCAGTTCCCACTGCCATTAATATTAAACTGTAGTCAACCTAGATATGCAATTAAGATCCTGGAGGTCAAACTTTAGTTTCATAAACTTCAAGATATCTGTGACAAATTGCAAACAATAAACACGTCCACAGCTGCCACTGGCAATAGCATTGAACTGTAGCCTAACTAATACTAATCTGCAAAACTACACCAGTATGGAGTGCAAGTAACTGGAAGAACACATCTCTTTCTGGAATTCTAACAGCTTAACCCAAAAATACTGACAAAGTTATTTTTATCATTGCTTCTTAGAGAGGAGTGTCACACAAAATCATATGGCACACAAATCATATGTAAAACACATCAGTTCACCTTCTGGACATCTTCATTCATTGAAGTCTCTTGGGCAAAGCAAAAGCTTTTTTTTAATGATACCAGAAGGTATCATTAAATTATTGTCATGGTTTGACACTGGCACAATTCCAGCACCCCCATGAAAATGCAACCCCCCCAAATGATTGCTGTGAGACACGATCTGGAACAGAGCAGAGCAGGCCCAAGCTAAATAACAAAGGAAAAACTTTATTAAACTACTACTACTACAAAAGGATAAAGAAAGAAAAAACACACACTAAATACAAAATGAACATCTTCCAAAACATTCCTCCTTCCCTCCCTCCACCCAATTCCAACAAACCACAGTGAGACACAACTTGGACCCCCAGTCAGGTTCCCACCCTTCAGATAATCAATTCTCAGTCTATCGAGGGAGAGATGAGTCCCTTCTGTGCCACAGACCTCCCCAAGAAACACAATTGCCACCTCTTGTGTTTCCAAGTCACACGTGGCACCACCTGGAAAAAATCTGCCAGTGTGACACTCTCCTTTGCATGCACAGTACTCTCACTACTGTGTATGGACAGACTGTTCCTAGGATGTTTCTTTTCAAGGATGCTATGCCAAGATAAAAAAAAGCAACAGTTCAGATTTTCATTTTTGGGATCGTAACCCCCCCATTTCCCCCTGGGGCTGAGGGTCCACGAACAGAGATCTTCTCTTCTTCTTCTCTGAAGACAGGGAGCATCACCACAACCCTCCTCAACTTTCCTCTGTTCACTCCACTCCTGTCTTTTCCTCAGCTGTTGAAGCAGTTCTCTTGGCTCACCATGCATCTTCCTAAAATACAGTCTCTCTCTTGGAGGAGAAAATTGGTTCAGTCTATGGCTACCAAGCAAAAGTCCAGCCAAAAGCCACTCCATCATCTTCCCCTGCAACCTTCTTTTCCTAACATCTCAGGTCCCAGGCTGTCTCTCTTCTCCTCTTTCAAACTGAGGAGGCTATTTCACAAAGCCCTCATTTCCCAAGAAAGGGTTAAAAGTCCCGACTCCCTGGATGGCTCTCGGCCCAGGCTCCAGCTCCCACCTGTTCCCCGCTTCCACCTCCTCTGCCGGTGTACTTCCGGCACTGTCACTGTCTCTTTCTCTCTCTCTCCAGAGAGACTCTGGGGGGGAAATGGAAACATCCCAGATTTCCTCCACCCTTCCATCCGCAGGGAGCCAGAGCCAGTTCCAGCCCCTACACCCTTCTGCCTAACTCAACCTGGGCCGCATGGCTCCCCTCCCCACCCAGCCACCTGACTGGGAAGGGAAGAGTCTGCACTCTCTGATGACCAGAGCCAGTTCCTCTGGGAGATCTGCTTTTAGTCCCTCTGTGTTCTCAGAGGTGTGTCCAACCTTCAATGGTCAGCCCAAACGCCAATATCCAACTCTGACCACTGATTGGCCTGACCCACTTCCTCCCAAGAAAATTCTTTTCCATGTCAAACCATGACAATGAAGAATTATTATAGAATCATGGAATCACTTAGAAGAATTATCATCACCATCCTTTTACATATTACCTTGCTTTTGGGCTTGACTTCACCACAAAGCTTCAAGAGTTCTGAAGATAATGAACTAAAAGAAAAATTGCATCAAAATTAGAAAGTCATACTTTTTGCAGATTGGCAGGTGTGTATTTTAATTTTACTCTTCTTTCTACTGAAATT